TCGTCTGGGCCCGGCCGGCGTGGCTCAGTGGCTGAGCGTCGACCAGGAACCAGGAGGTCAGGGTTCGATTCCCGCTCAGGCCACAGGCCCGGGCTGCGGGCTCGATCCCCGGTGTGGGGCGTGCAGGAGGCAGCCGGGCCATGGTTCTCTCTCATCATTGGTGTTTCTCTCTCTCTCCCTCTCCCTTCCTCTCTGAAACAATAAAGATATATTTTTAAATGCATCGTCTGGTTTATTCATCTCAAACGCCCTGGCACCTGTGAGCAAGCTCCAGAGACCCACGAGCTGCTGTGCGTGGATCCTGACGTGTTAGTTCCCTGAAAATACGGGGGTTCCCGCGGGGAGCGTCTGATGCCTGAACCTGGTTTCCGGGCAAAGCAGAGACAGAAGGGACAAGGCCGGGGGAGGGGCCCGGACGGGAGGGGGCACCAGTGAGGCAGCGGAGGACAGGCCAGAGGGTCTCCTGCCCTGGCTCCCAGGTGTGGTCCGTGGGCCCTGCCCGGCCTGAGCAGGCAGCGCCCCCAACAGGCCCTGAGCCCCACCCCCCCAGGGCCAGCAGGGAGAGGGGGTCCACGCCATCGGGAAGACTCACGGGGGTCTAGAGCCCAAAGGTCCCCCCGCCCCCAGGCCGACAGGAGGACGGGGTGCTGGGAAGGAGGTCGCTTCAGCACCTGGGGCACCTGAGGGTGGGCAGGTGCGGAGGGGACCGGAAGTGGCCCATTCGGGCCCCACTGCTGAGGAGTGTTTCCCTGGGGCCGGGATGGGGTGACCCCCATGCAACTGACAGGCACTGGGACTTCCAAGCATCTACCCGCTTTCCAGTAAATGATCTATTTCCTGCTGAGGAGGAAAAATTACAGACACCCAGGGTCACTGCAGAGAGTGCAGAACAGAGTCGATAACACGGTAATAACTGCACGGGGCCAGGTGGGCACCAGACCTACTGGGGCCATCACTTCCTAACGCATATGAGTAACCAGGAAGCTATACACCGGGAGCGGATACAATGTTGCATGTAAGTATCTAAACACACCTGGGCTGATACAATGTTGCATTATGTTAGTGACCTGCTAGGAAAGCCGCCCCCTTCTGTCCGGCCTCCCAACTGCCCGGTGACGTGAGTGACGGCCGTGTGTGCGTCACCTGCACGGTCTGAGGTCCCACGTGGCCTCTCTCACGTGCGGGAACAGCCACCCTGGGGCCGAGAACATGCAACAGAGGACAGGCTCTCCCTGGAAACAGCCTCTGAAGGGTGGGGTGACGACCAGAGCCAGGGACACAGGCTCCCATCGCCTGGCACCCCGAGGAGCTAGTCCAGGGCCGGGACCAGGCAGGTGGCCGGCTGACGACCGGGTGCGTCACTGGCCGCACACAGAGAGTCCGGGCCAGAGGGGCAGGGGGAAGAGCGGAGAGGAAGGGGATGGGCGCTCCGGTCGGGCTTCCGTGCAGTGACCTCAGCCAGAGGCCGCCGTAGAGGCACCTGCTCCGCCCAGTTCATTCCTTTCCCGCTAAGAACACGGGCATCCAGCCGCCCCCCCCCCACAGGTGGTGGCGCAAGACTGAGCCCCGACAGGCGTTCCCCCGAATCCAAGGGGCGTGACCAGCGCCCATATGTACGTGGGCGCAGAGCAAACGCGGGCGGAGATGGAGCCGGTCAGTGGGGGAAAGGCCAGGAACCCGGGCACGTCGCAGCCGCCAGCGCGGAGAAGGAACAAAT